AGGTATTTTGTGAGTTGGAAATGTTCTATACTCCCCAAATGTAAGCAATTCCCTTAGGTGGTTGTCTTGAGATGTAGCTAGTGTCCTGTACTAGGAAAAATGGACCTTGATAAGTGGCTTAAGTGCATAGAGCTCTCAAAATATGAACAAGTTTGTTGGGCATTGGTGAATGTCTGCTTTCAGTGGTTAATTATGTACTAAGGTTGGCTATTTTATGAGGGCTATCAGTCTGGGTCTACCCACACAAGTGCTGCTAATTCTAAGAAGGGTAGTCTATGTGTGCCAATATTGGTTGCCTGGGGGATATGCCAATATATCATGATGAACGCATAACCCTACAATGTTTTCCATGTGACTAGTACAAAGGTGGATGGTACTTGGCTAGATAAAAGTATCTCAAGTTCTGAATGATCATAGATGCCAACCCACAATACTTTACCCAGAAAAACTGTCTAGCACAGCTGAAGGAGAAAATAAACTTCCCTGACAGAAATTTGCTGAAAGAATTCATGTCTAACAAACCAGCCATACAGAAAAGACTCAATATAATACAAAGAACTGAAGAAAAGAATGACCATACAAAAGGGGGTACAGAAAGAAAACAAATGACGGTATATTTTCAGAAACACAGAATAGGACTAAGAGCACAACCAGAAAATAAAACGACAGTGACATTTTTCAATAATAACTGTAAATATCAATCGCCTCATCTCTCTAGTCAAAAGACAGAGGCTAGTTGAATGGATTAAGAAACAAACAAAACTTATCTTTTTCTTGTCTGCAAGAAACTTATCTTACCTTCAAGGATAAACATCACCTTAGATTGAAAGGATGGAAAAAATATTCCAAGCAAATGACACTGAGAATCAAGCAGGCATTGTGATTCTATTATCTGACAAAATATACAACTATAAACATAATAATTTATATAAATGGACTTACAGACAAAAATCATATGATCATCTCAATAGATGCAGAAAAGGCCTTTAACAAGATCTAACATGCATGCATAATAAAAGTCCTAGGCTGGGCGTGGTGACGCACTCCTTTATTCCCAGCACTCAGGAGGCAGAGGCAGGCAGATCTCTGTGAGTTCAAGGCCAGCCTGGTCTACATAGTGAGTTTCTGGACAGCTGGGGCCACAGGGAGACTCTGTCTCAAAAAGACCAAAAAATAAAGTTCTAGAGAGAACTGGACTGGAAAGAACACATTTCAACACAGTTAAAGCTTATAACAACAAGCCCACAGCCCCCATCATTCTAAATGGAGAAAAACTTGAAGCATTCCCATTAAAATAAAAAGCCAGACAAAACTGTTCACTTTCCCCACTCCTTCTCAATGTGCTTGAAACTCTAGCTAGAGCAATAGCACAAGAGAGCAAAATTAAAGGGATACTAATTGGAAAAGTAGAGGTCAAATTATACCTATCTGCAGATGATATGTTATCATATGTAAGAGGTCCCCAAAATTCCACCAGAAAACTTCTAGAAAGATCAAGACTTTCAACAAAGTGGCAGGATACAAAATCATATTACAAAAATCAGCATTCTTTCTGTATACCAATAAGAAGCAATAAGAGAAAGAGTTTATGAAAACACTCCCATTCACAACAGCCACAAAAAATGTCTAGGAATAAACCTAACCAATGACATTAATGTCTTCAGATATAGGGTTATATGGACTGTAGTGGAAGTTTGACCACTTCCTCCAGTATTTATTTTCCTTTCATTTATTTCTTGTGCCATATTTCTCTGTCTAGATATGCAAGTACAGTATTGAATAGGTGTGGTAAAAGTGGAGATCCTTACAGCATTACTGATTTTAGAGGAAATACTTTCCATTTTCCCTCATTCAGTATAATATTTTTTCTGGGTTGGTTGCGTATAGCTATTATTTTTTCGAGGTGTAATCTCTGATCCTATTAATATGCTGCACTAGATTTACTGATTTGCAAATATTGAGTCATCATTATAGTCCTTGAATGAAACCAACTTGATCATGGTGCATGATTTTTACTGAAGGGCAGGGCAGAGTCTCCCTATAACCCCAGTTAGCCTAGAACTCACTATGTAGACCAGGATGGCCTTGATCTCACAGAGATATGACAGCCTCTGCCTCCTGAGTGCTGGGATTAAAGACATGCGCAATGACGCCCTGAGGTGCATAATTTTTTTAATCTGCTGTTGAATTTGATTTATAAGCATTTCGTTAAGAATTTTTGTGTCTATTTGTTCAAGTATTTTGGTCTGTATTTTTCTTTTTAAAAATGTTTACTTGCTTACTTTTTAAATCAGGGTAAGATATGATTCATAGCATTGAGTCTAAATACACTGGGCTCCCTTTCCATTTCATGGAATAGCCTGAGGAGCACTTGCATTATTTCTTTACAGCATGACTCCATCCAGCCTCAGGTCCTTTGAGGGTCTGTGCCTCATGGGTCACATGGGCTTGGAAGGAGCCCTGGCTCCTTTCTTTTACCAGTTCTGTGTATGTGAAAATCAGTCACAGGTCCTGCTTGACCATGGTTGGCTTCATTTGGAAGCATGGAGGAAATGTTTTCTCTGTGTTGAGCCCCGTCCTCTTTGTAGACTGAACACTGGTTCAAGTCCATCTGGTGGGAACTCCATGACCTCCCTGAACAAGAGGACAGATGACTCATCACAGTTACAGGACATTTTGAGAGATGCTCCATAGTCTCCTGGAACTTAGTTGACCTTGGAGGGCAAGGAGCAAAAACTTCCCTTTAGGTCTCTCTGACCAGATTAGTATAGGACTCAAAGTATGGTTGTTAAACATCCAAGAAGGTTAGTTATACCAGTATGCTACTTTAATTACCATATGCTATGTAGATAAAGCTTGGGAAAAGTGTTCTCAGATAAACCTTGACTAGACATATACTTTGTTCTTTAAATTAGTTGACTAAACTATGACCTTAGAAATTTTATCATTGTATGTGTATTATTTTTGTCTCATACTTTATACATCATAACAAACCTACATAGACCTTCATCACTTGCTTAGGCTTTCTCCTTTTTTCTATTTTGGAAAACATCTCCATTGCCATATCCTTTTAACATCTTTTACAGTCACATTTTCTTTTTAAATATTTATGAGACATAATAACATTAACAAATAAATTTTCCATCTGTTGTGATCATTCTTTTCCTGGGGATAGTAAGCAATGTTTATCCCCTTCTAAGGTACTAGTGTCAAACCAATGTTTGATTAAAGTTCTCCTGGGGAATCAATGAATTTACTGAGCTTACTTAGAGAGATGACTGAGGGGTTGCTGAGGTGTATGAGTGACCTGAGCATGTCCTTTTTGTTCAATTTTGGTAGTTCAATGTGTGCAGAACTATACTAATTTCTTTTGATTCTTTAGTTTACTGAAGTGTTCAAAATGAACCCAAATGATCTTAATAAATACCATCTGCTTGAAAATATCCATTAGCTTTAATTACTGTGTCTTTAAGTTTTCATTTTGTATGAATGTATCAGTCTGTTTAATATATTAAACTTTTTTGCTTCTCTCATTCTTTATACTGTTCTTTTCTGCTGTGTTTCATTAATTTCATATGTGGTTTTGTGATGTCTTTACTTCCGTTGGTTTTGGCTTTGGTTCATCATTTTTTTTCTAAGACACTGAGGAGCATCATTACTTTGTGCGTAGCAATTCAGAGATACAAGTATCTATCTAAGAAGAACTATCTACCTACCACTTCTTTTTGGTAACAAAATGTGTTTATTTTTACTTATTTTTTGTAGAAAAAATATTTCCAGATATAGAAGCTGGCATCAACAGATTTTTCTCCTTATTTGGCACTTTGAAACATGCTGTTCTCTTGTTCTGTGCTGTTTCATTTGTCTGTTTCTGATGACATGTTGGTAGGAATTCGTATCTTATCTCCATATATATTAACATTCTTTCATCCTCTGTTTCTAGATACTTTTACATTATTCTTAGTAATTTGAGAAGATATATTTGGTTTAGTTTTCTTTTTATTTTGGTTCAGATTTATTGAGCTTCTAGGCTCTGTGAGCTTGTCATTTTAAGAGAATTTGTGGGTGCTAAGATGGCTCTGTAGGTTAAGATACTGATCACCTGAGTTTGATTCCTGGAACCCACATGATGGAAGGAGAGAACAAGTCTCACCACTTGTCCTCTGACCTCCACAAGCACACCATGGCGAACACTTGCGCACACACACACACACACACACACACACACACACACACACACACAAAGGAAGGAGGGAACAACAGAGAAATGGGAAGAAGGATGAAAAGGAGGTGCCAGTGCATAGCATGGTCCAGAACCATAAGAAAGAAAAAAGAGAAAGAAGCAAGCAAGCAAAAAAGAAAAAGAAAAAGAAAAAGTAGTATGAAGACCAAGCTATCTCTTCCTCACATGCTCACTAGGCGCTTGTGTACCACATAGTCACCATATATACACATCTGTCATAGAGAACTCTTTAATGTAAAGGGGGAGAGCCCTGTCAGGCACACAGTGGAAGTCCCAAAAATGTTGCCTTTTTCTAACTTTGTTTCCCAGGAAGACAGCAATCACTCTTGAAAGCTTGTTTACAGAACAGGAACTCCAGTGCCCTTGGTGCTCTCACAAACCCCAGAGCCACACTGTGTCCCAGAAGGAAGGACTTTCTCAATGAGCAACCTCTCTTAACCTGTCCTGCAATGCTGGAAGTGGGTTCCCCCTGGAATCCAGATCCTGGCACCCCCACAGGCAAAGTGAACCTGAGCTCTTGGACAGCAGACTTGACAGAGAGCCCTGGTCAGGGGCAGGGAAGCTAGCAGCAGAAGAGACTGGGTAAAACTGGGCAGGGGCTAGTCTTAGAGCACAGTTCAGGCATCACCAGGAGCACAGTACTGTGGAGCAGCTAAGTTGACAAAAAAGACATGGGGCGGGCCAGGAGGGACAGAAGCGATTCAATTGGACAGAGGACACTGGAGAAGGGCGTGGCCTGGAAGAGACAGGAAGGGACTTAAAGGCGGGGCCGGCGCTGCTGGGAGCACAGACTGACTAGGGCGACCATCACCTGCTCAGACCCTCATTCCCTAGAAGAGCCTGCAGGGGTCCCAGCCATGCTCCAGGCTGCAGGCTCCTTGGTGGCCGCCTTCTGGGCAGAGCTCCATCCCAGGACTCTGCTGCTGGCTGCTGTCACTTTCCTGTTCCTTATTGATTTCCTCAAAAGGCGGCGCCCAAAGAACTACCCTCCAGGGCCTTGGCGCCTGCCCTTCCTGGGAAACATGTTCCAGGTGGATTTAGAGCAGCCACACATTGCCATTCAGCAGGTAGGAATGGGGGAGGGTCCTGTGTCCTGACCCCAGTCCTGAACTGCAGAACCTGGGACATTCTGGAGGGCCAGGGGGCAGAAGGACCCCCTAAATTGTCTGATGCTGGCAGCCTGCTAACCCAGCCAATAGAGCGAGTTTGTAATCTTGTGCCCTCCTTTAAGAGATAAGATGTTAAACTTCCAAACTGCTGGTTTTCCAGTCCTTCTATGAACTACTTCCAGTTCTGCTCTTCTTGACTGGAGTTCTCTATAAACTCCACTCCCTCTTCCTGAGCTTTGTTATGTTCTCCTACATCCTTGTCTAGATAGTGAATTCTTCGACCTTTTTTACTACTATTATTATTCCTGTCTCTTTCTATGAAGAAGGAAGATAGAACATTTCTATTTACTTACAGATAAGGGTTAGCTTGTGGTTTTGTTGCTGTGTTTTCTTTTGCTTTTTCTGTTTTCAAGTTTACATTTCCCACTTCTTTTGTGCTTTTTGGAAACTTTAAGTAATTCCAGTTTTAGACACTGTCATTCTTTTGAGCATCTCTTTTTATTCTTTCCAGTGGCTTCCTGTTTTCCTGGGACAGCTGGACGCTGACAGCACAGCTGTGACCTGTCATGGGTTGGGTCTTTGTGGTTTCCACTCTGCCTTCTCAGTGCTGTGCAGTACTGGAGCATATGAGCTCTCGACCTCCCTGCACTTCCCATGATGCTCTCACATCACTGCTGTGCTGTTGAGCTCTTCTCTTAGGGGGTGTTTATTTAGTTCATTGCAGTTATGTGTCCTAAAATTTGCCTTTGGTTTTTCTGTGTGTATTTTTTCTTTGTTATGACTTCTCATTATTTAGAATATTTTTATATCAGTTGCTTTAAAATCTCTCACTAATGTATAGTTCCAACATCTGTGCCATCACATTTAAATTGAGATTTGCCTGGTTTTTGGTGAGTAATCCTGCTAGATATCCTGTCAATCTGTCACGCTTATGCTGGACTCTATATATTTTACTTGCACAGAGAGCCTGTTGAGGTTCTGAATGCATCCTTTGGTGAACAGTGGTTCAAGCGTAAATTTTGAGTGTACAACCTCAGGAGTTGAGTCTGGGCCACCCCACTTTGTGTTTCTCACCCTCATGGGATTCCACACCACAGTCTCATCACCATGACTTCATAAGAAGGATGGATTTTACAGAGCACAGGACCCCATCAGAATAAGGCAACCACACCTAGCTACGTGGGGATAGAAGTTAGAGATCTGCCAGAATTTGCTCTATGGGGAAGGAATGTCCTTGTTCCTGCAGGAGAGTGGTGAAATTCAACCTGCCCCTAGACTCTCCTCCATCAACTTACAGCAGTTCAACTGTGTCACAATTTGGTTCATAGATTCATCTGAGGAGGGACACATATAGTGTGAATTCACAACACTGCACTCTGAAGTCCAGTACTGTACCCCTTATAGAGCTGAATACGTTCATGTTTCTTTATGGTGTTCCATGTCAGGACATAGGTATAGAAAGGTAAAGATATCTTTAGTGCTATTGGGTTGAAATTTCCTTGCTTTTGGTTTGAGAAAGTAAATTTTTTGCTAGAGTATTTGCAAACCCGTAAGAAGCCATTACATAATTTCTCCTATTCGAACCCCACTCAAACTTTGAGCTGTAACTAAGGAAGTTCACCTATTTCACCTGGTGATTAGATCATGGGCCCGCCCCTTTCAGAAGCTAGCCACTCTAAGAGGACAAACTGAAGTAGCTTTAGAAATCAGGCTACATGCTTCCTTTGCTCTCTGTGTAGGACAGAATTAAAAAGCCAAGCTGTGCCATGACTTACAGCCCCTAATTTATGGTCCTAACTCCTCCCTGCTCCCCCACAGAAAGGCTATTCCAGACTAGATAATGTGGTGTGAAACTTCCTTCCACCCTTTGAAAGGATATAAAGCCAGGTATTTTCCTGTGTTGGGGGAATTTCTCTGAAGGCTCCTCTCTGGGCCTATTGTCCCTGGTATGTATGCCTCTTTAAGCTGTTATCCTTGATGAACTTTCTCTAGTTGTTAAAGAACAGCCTATTTTCTCCCTTTAAGTCCCCAACATGTTGTCTCTGATATGATGTACTGTCCCTTTCTAATCTGTCCCACCTCAAGGCCTGATCACGTCTTCCCTGGTGCCGATGCCCCCTCTCCTAGTAGCGCTCATTTCTGGAGTTAGTTTATGACAGCTCTTTTCCTGAACTAGCCACTGCCATGTATTCTACAGACTCCTCAGCCCTGCCTCCCTTCTCACTTGTCCCTGAGCATCTGTTTCTTCAGGAGCCTGACCTCCCGCTCCTCTCAGGTGCTTCCTAACTTTCCCTCATCAAATACCTGACAGACACAGTGGCAATAAGATGAGTTTTGATCTGCGTGCTGCATGGACTGTGAACTTCTTGAAGTTAAGCACTTATTGAAGGCCTAGCACCTTGAATTGACCTTTGACTGGGTGGTGCTCTATAATGCAGCCTCCACCCCAGGAGAACACGGTAACTCTGTGCTCCTACCTATTCCTCAATCTTTATACCTGCATTGGATGATCCCATGGCCTCAGTACCTTGATCTTCATACTTCATATATTAAAAATGAGTCAACAAATCCTTATTACAAGGCCTAAACACCCATTTGGGAATTTGTCAAGATGAAATAAAATTTTTGCTAAATTTGTATGTACCTATTATTTCCATCTCAGAAGAAAATACAGATACTTATTGTCTCTGCCTTTACCAACAATACAGGACAGATTTTTCTAGAGATGAAAGAAGTTAGAAGAGGACTCTGAGTGAAAAAAAAAAGACTGAGTCTGGGTTCTTTCTTTAATGTGGCTGCAAAATTTTAGGATGAGTCAAAATCATTACATTTGCCTTGACAATGTTCACACAGGGCTAGGGCTCTGTGATTGATGTGGTAGGACACAAGATGGGGATGGGGTAGAGACCGCAGATACCTGGAGGGAGGGAGCCCTTCAGTTGACACCACTGCTGCAGCTAGAGAAGATACAGTCACACAAAAGGCAGAGGCAGGGTCTACACTGGGCTGACGTTTGAACACATGGGGGACAAAATTTGATACTACTGATCACACACAGTCAATCAGCCGTTATTTGCATACACTTGCACACTCTGCATCTTTTTATTTTATTATTTTGATTATATGTGTATGAATGTATTGCCTTCATGTATGTAAGTGTACACGTGCTGCACAGTGCCTATGGAGGTCAGAAGAGGGCATCAAATCACCTGAAACTGGACTTTCAGATGGTTGTTAGCTGTCATGTGGGTGCTGGGAACCAAACCTGGGTCCTCTGCATGAAGAGCCAGTGCTCTTAACTGCTGAGCATCTCTCCAGCCCCACATTCTGCATCTTCATGGGCAATGTCATTCACTCTCACCTTCTCCTTCCCTCAAAGTTTCTCCTCCTCATCTGCACTTCACTAAACCAAGGTCCTCTGGTTCTCTCAATGAAATGTCTTTGTCTTACATGGTATCTGGAAGATTCTATCAGGCAAGGACTTTGCCTTCTTGACGAATTTGCTTCACCTGCAATTTGTTTGTTTTTTTAGAAGGATAGAAAGTCCTAAGGTGGGGTGATTAAGAAGTCAATGAGACCTAGTCATTGTGGCTGTCTGTGTCTAGTGTCTTCTTGTCCTAGCTATCACCATGGTTTCTATTCCCCACCCTTTGCATGCATTGCTTTCAAAGAGATGTGGTGGGTGGTTGTGTGGCTTGTTGCCCAGAACCAGAAGACAGAGTGCCTTTCCCATTGCTGCTTTTAGTTTTCCCCACAGAACCTTTGAGAGAGGAATATTTTTTTCCTTTCAGAGCTGAAGGTCTAGGACTCAAACTACAGCAACTGTCCCCAGGGCCCATAGTTATTGAACCACAGAACCTCCATGCAGCACTACTGCAGAACCAAAGAGCGGTCTCCACATCTGGCCTCTGCTCTCTATTGCACTTTCTACGTCTAGCAGGGTTTGGGGAGAGCACTTTGTGGAGAGCACTGTGGAGAGCATATACCAAATTGTTTAGTAAGAATGATGTGCTTTCCACAGTACTTGCGCAGACACATTGTCCTTTGGTCATTCAAATGTATACTATTTCCTACCCTCACTGGATTTAAGGATGCTTCACGTTAGAGATCTTGCTTTTTTGGTGCTTATTCCCTCATTCCCTAATCTAGAGACACATTCACGTTCATTTATATTGTCTGAACGTATGAATGAAAGTTTTATCAGGAAATTCACAATCCTAATGTGAACTGGAGGTAGTGGAACGGAGAAAAAAATTCAGAGACGTTCCCATTATACCAAGATGCTTCATGCCCACACACAAGTGCAGATACCCCTCAGTGTAAGTCCCATTAGTTACAGTGATACTTTCTGTGACTAGCAGATACTGAATAGAAGGCATATTATTCTCTGGATAAACATTTTGATTTACTAGAAACCCCATACAAGCTACACCAAGCATGCACAGACCCTCCTCGGCCTTCAGCAGGTCAGCTGAGCCATGTTCTTTGCCTTCACCAGAATTCAGGATGCTTCAGGTTCCAACCTTGTTCTGTTTATTGGTACTTAGAGCCTCATGCCTCCCTCTAGAGACACATGCGGGTAGAAGTATATGTGATTCATAACTCTGAACTCATTGGTGAATTTCTTTATGTAATTTATAATCCTGATGTGAACTGAAATTGAATTTAGTGCATAGGGTGAGAGACAAAATTTCAAAACTATGTCGACAGAATCAGATGTATTCTTCCACTCACATAATCCTACAGACCTCTCAGTATGATTCCTGTCAGCTGCATACATGCTGGACTCCCAGGCACACAGGCCCACTCTACTGTGTTCATTTAAATCTTTTTCAGCTTGTGAAGAAATATGGGAACGTTGTGAGCATGGATTTGGGTACCATGCCTTCAGTGGTTATAAGTGGACTGTCCTTAATCAAAGAAACCTTCACTCACTTGGACCAGAACTTCCTGAACCGCCCTGTCACCTTTAGCCGGGAGCATGTCTTTAGTAAAAATGGTAAGTTTCTGGAGCACCATAAGGTATGCATTCTCTTTTCATGGTATGCTAAAGGTGCCTCTGTGTATAACTAGCCAACATTCCTGCTAGCTGACAGCATCATGAAATGCCATCTTTAAAGGAAGCTGGATGCTGCATTTCCTGACTGAAAGCACTCATCAGAGGGCTCATAGTGTTATTCTTAACACAGTCTTGGGAAAAACCACATGCCTTGAGAAAAACAAACCTAGATGCTTTGGTGGGGAAGCAACGACACTCATCACAGCCAGAGTCACTGCTTTCATCTTCATTTTCCCATTTGAACCTCTGCCCTAGGAAGATGGCTACGAGTTGGCTTCCTTCTGCTGCTGCCTCTTCTCACTTAAAGGGTCCTGTACTCCATCATGAAAATGGCGCCACATAGGGATCTCTAGTCTTGTGGCAGTGTTAGAACAAGTTGACATGAACTTATCATTTAATAGTTGCATGTTTGAAAATCGAAGTTAGGATTTCACATGTATTAATGTAACATCGGTTATAATCTAGACATAATATCAGTTTTAGATGTTTCCTAATTACTCCTGGAATGAATTCATTAAGTTGTTACACCTCCATAGTATTATCTGCTAAGAGAAGCACAGCGCTCAGCCTGATATAACAATGTGAAAAAGAGATTTTTTAAAAAGACCTGTCGTTATGTAACACAGTCTATCCAGAGACAGACAGAATCAATTACCGATACCAGTTTAAACTCTGTAGTGTTATGTCAAGAGAAGAATGCATTTACCAAAGCTGTCTAATGTTGTCTTGGGATTCAGGAATAGCTTGTATAAACAAATGATATTAATTTCATAGCATGAGGAAATAATGACTTAAAGGGGGATACAATATCCATGAAGGAACAAAAAAGGACAAGGGACATGTCTAGTTTTGCAAGCAGACTACTTAGAGAGATAGTTAAGTGATCAAGAAACTGGTGATCTGGCTCAGAAAGAGCCCAGCAAGTTCTTGCCAAAGAGGGCGGTTTTCATCCAAACAAGAAGAGAAGCCCTGGAATTTGTTGGGTAGAAAAGAAGATCATATGCTACATATTCTAATGTTCACTTAGGATACAATGTAGTGAATAGTGGAAAGCATGGCACAGCATTTTAAGTTAGAAAATGGGGAGTTTGAACACTCAGGGTTCCAGGAAATGAAAGTATATTAGATCAGGATAAGCAAACATGACATGACAGCTTACATACCAGGAGAATGGGCTGCTGAGGGGAGTCAGACTGGGGTACCTCCCATAGAGGTGAATGTTGCAGAGAGGAACTCTTAGAGGATAGAGGAACCTTGGTAGCTTGCTTATGCTGGGAATTCCAGGAATAAAATAATGAGTTCTGTTATGGATGGACTGAGTCTGAAATACCTGCAAAGTCAAGTAACCAAGACCACGTGAGGGGAAGATGAAATGTCTCTCTGCATTTCATGAGGATGGTGGAGGTAAAGGCCTCTGTTTGAAGGAATGGAGGATTGCTCTGAAAGTTTAGAACTAGAAAGGACCATGACATGCATGTGCCATGAAATACATACTGGCCTGCTGAGGATTCCTGATGTTCTGCTGCTTTGAATCTGTGTGTGTGGAGCATTCATCCTTCTCATCTTCTTTAGTTATTTCTTCATCCTCTAAAACCTCTTAGATAGGAACTCTCCTATAAGTTTTTTCTTTGTCTCCTTAAAATTATGGGCCTTCTTTTATTCATGAGTGCCCACGTGGTTATTAACCTGAACATCAGTAACTGAACTTATATGACAACTAATGAAAGTATGGATTTGAAACCAAGGAAACTTGAGTTTGAACACCTGGCTAGCTATCTTCTAACAATTTCTCCTTAATAAGTTATTTTAATCCCTTATCTTAGCTTTCATATCAATTAGAGTGGCTCTTGTATCGGTTAATAATAAGCTTGTAGAGTTTCTGAAAGTACTAAATTATATAATATGTAAGAAGTACTTAGTAAGTGAATGATGTTGCAAGCCACCAGGAGGTCCTACCCATTATGCCCATGTTTTAGGACCGTTTCTCTGCATAGTTATCAGGTCCCTTATAGACCTGCTCCTTTCCACCAGTACACATGTCCACACAGTGTAATTGTATTCCAGAATCACAATGCCGTAATGCTGAATCGGTGTTTTCCAGGACTGATCTTCTCCAATGGCCAGACGTGGAAGGAACAAAGAAGGTTCGCCCTGATGACACTGAAGAACTTTGGGTTAGGAAAGAAGAGCTTAGAGCAGCGCATTCAGGAGGAGGCCCACTATCTTGTGGAGGCCATAGAAGAGGAGAAAGGTGGGCATTTCCCAGAGTAGGTGCATATTGTTATGGCATGTTCTTTTATTGAACAGCTACTTACTAAGTGTGTGAATGCTGTCCTGCGCCCTACGAGGAACTGAAAATGTTAACAGCAAATATCTAACCATGACCCTGTCTACGAGTACTACAGCGGCATAGAGAGATCATAAGACACATTGCTGAATTTAAAGCCTAGGCATGGACAGAATCCTTGTTGCATGTCAGCCCCATGTAGGATGCTATGACTAGAGTCTCTTACATGGTTCTTTGTTTTCTGCACCATGTCAGTGGGGAATTCGGGGGCTCAAGGTCGATTATTCGTTTGTTTGGACTAGCTTTTGCCATGCCAAATTAATTCTTTAGGAAATGTAAATCAACAATGTTCAAAGAATTGACTCTTTTTCCCCACCTCCAGGACAGCCTTTTGACCCCCACTTCAAGATCAACAATGCAGTTTCCAATATCATTTGCTCTGTCACCTTTGGGGAGCGCTTTGATTACCAGGACAGTCGGTTTCAGGAGCTGCTGCGGTTACTGGATGAAGCCTTAGGTTTGGAATCATCTGTGCTAAGCCAGGTAAGGACTCTCCTTTCCCATGTCTTGGGAGGATATTTGATAGAGTCCAAATGAAGTATAGACAGATTCTTCCTTTTTTTAGGGCCTTTTGGAGATAGCTACGATGTCTTAAAGTTCATTTTAACACAAATATCCTAATTTATCTGTTGATACCAGTGTTCTTCATCATGTGACTCTCCTTTCCCATGTCTTGGGAGGATATTTGATAGAGTCCAAATGAAGTATGGACAGATTCTTCCATTTTTAGGGCCTTCTGGAGATAGCTATGATGTCTTAAAGTTCATTTTAACACAAACATCCTAATTTATCTGTTGATACCCGTGGTCTTCATCATGTGGAAATCTTACTATATACAAAGACATTCCTAATATTTAAAGTAAGTTTTAGTTTTTACATGATATCCACATATGTAGGAATACCAGTCTTTTATAAAGAATAACAGTAACACTGATGGTTTGCCTTTCTTTTCATATGCCTCTCGCTCCTGTCTTAGAGGCATCTTCTAAGCATAATTTATACTTCAGTTTATCTGAAATTATTTTTATGCTGCTCTTTGTTAACGATAGACTAGGATAGCATTGTCTAAATGTCTCACAGTTTGTTAAAATTTTCCCCATAGTTAGACTAATGAGTTGTTTTTAGGATTGCCATGCTATTAATGTGTGTGTGTGTGTGTGTGTGTGTGTGTGTATGTGAGCGCGCGTGTGTGTATTTGTGAGAGAGAGAGAGAAAGAGAGGTGAGAGAGGAGAGAGAGTTCTCTGTATATTCTACATATTAATCTTCTGCCAGATAAATGACAAATATTCCCATCCCCTCAATCTGTAAGCTCTCTTTTCATGCAATTGACAGATTACTTTGTTATAAAGAATTTTAAATACCTTTTTATTGAATATTTTCTGTATTTCATACAGAATATTTCAAATAATATTAATTATCTTTATACCCCCGTCCCCAATGGCACCCTCCCATGCACACCACCCCCCATTCGAGCCCATATACTCTGTCATCCCGGTTAAGGCCCACTGTGTTTTCAGTGTCCCCAGCCATTCCCCAGTGCCTTATAAAGAATTTTAAATACCTTTTTATTGAATATTTTCTGTATTTCATACAGAATATTTCAAATAATATTAATTATCTTTATACCCCCGTCCCCAATGGCACCCTCCCATGCACACCACCCCCCATTCGAGCCCATATACTCTGTCATCCCGGTTAAGGCCCACTGTGTTTTCAGTGTCCCCAGCCATTCCCCAGTGCCAGTTTGTCAGCTGAGTCTAGTCAGCCTATCTAGAGTCCCTTGTTTTAGGAAGATCAGCTCTTCTTCATCCAGCAGCAATTAGTTGCCAACTTTCCTTCAGATAAGATTGGGGTCTGCTCTTCATTTTCCCAGTTCTATGCTGGGTTGTTGTCTGCCTGAGTTTGATTGAGACTTGTGTATTCTGACACCATTGCCATCATATGAGCACGTTCCCTGGAGCTTGTAGGACTCTGTTTCCATATGGTCATGCACT